AATAGCCAACATGTGGTTTGTGGTTTGAAAAAAATAACACCAGCTCACTAAATCATTAAAACGTAATGTTTACTTATATGTGAAAAGTAAAAAAGTTCAGTCAAAACATTGACAACAAAATCGGAGAAGCCGCTTGATCATGGAGGGCGAGGGGTGATGGTGCATATGCTGCCACCCCAGTTGGCAGCTTTGTTTTGAAAGAAAAGTTGGCTCATCGGACATTTATGAGAGAAAATCCCTAATGTCTGAGTGCAAGTGAATGCAGCACAAGACGCAAGCTTTGTAACCCCATCCCCTGGCCCTGGCGCGAGCATGGAAATGTGATTGTCATTCGAACGGGACGTTCACAGATTTTTCAGATGGCCAGATTTCCCCCCCCCCCAAGCATTCCAACGTGTCACATGTTTTAACAATCAATTACTTAAATAAGCCTTTGATTATGTTCCGGCCCCCCATCTAGTGGCTCAGAAAAAAATTGGCCCAAGGCCAAAAAACTTATTTGCCGACCCCTGATGTAGGGTGTACTACTTGTAATTTATGCTTGAAAAACAAACTTTAAATACGAAAAGCTTGAAAGAAATAGAAAGAAAAAAAAGTCAAGAAATATTAGGGTCCACCTCCCAATGACAGCTCATAAAGTCTTTGCCGACCACTGCAGAATTGTGAGAGAGTAGAGAGTCAGCTGTGTTTGTGTCCTTATCGCCTCACACCAAATCTTCCTGTTTGGGCTCCTGTCTGTTCTCCAGTCATGGTCATTTCTAAATGTTTCATTTACTGAAGGATCCCATGCTGCAAAGCTATGGCAGGCAGTCAAAGACAGCCATGACAGCAACAGAGAGCGGCTGGCCTTCATTTGACAGCAGTGACAACTCACAATACTGAAAGGAGAAGAATGCCATTCTTTCACCTAATGTTTTATTTGTCTCTCTCTCACATGGTGACCACAGATCATTACCGTCAATCCTTGCCTTCCTTTTACTACTTTCCTACTAACTAATATGTATGTAATGTATACATAATACCTTGTTAAATTCAACATGTATATTTTCTACTTTCTTGTTTATTTCTAGTCTTTGAATTTGTATTGTACAATGCCATGTCTTTCTATGCTGCTGCAACGCAAACATTTCCCAAATTGGGATCAATAAAGTACTATATTATCTTATATTTTCTTATCTTATCTTATCTTATTACCTGTCATACAGCCATTCTGCTTTTCTCCTTCTCTTTGTAAAAAAAAATGTTCTTGCGCATGACTTCTATTTGCATTTCCCTCTGGTTACCAAGGGCAACATACAGGGACAAGTGGATTTATCAAGAACTAAGGGCTGGAGGAACAAAATAAAGAAAGGGAAGGCATTCTGCAGGGCAAATCTGTAGTGGTGAATATGCATTTGGTAAAAAGAGCCATACCACACAAACACTACAACATACAGAGACACAAAACTGACATGCACTGAGATTGCAAATTAATGCACAAAGCGCAGCTGGCATACGCCTAGAACAGCAACAATTAGATGACTATGCCATAGCCATTCAACATACAAAAAAGGATTCGGAAAATTTGATTAATCGATGATTTTTCATGTAAAACTGGCAGAAAAAGTGTTTTAAGATGTACATCTTATTAAAATGAATAGCTTTGAGTTTGAACTGACAAAACAAGAAATGTCAACATATCACCTTGGCATGTAAAATATTGGGAGTGATATTTATCTCACATTTTTTTAGACCAACCGATAATCCATAGTTGCAGCCGAACACAACACAAGGTCTAATGTTTTTTTTCAAAGTTTTTGTGTAAAGAAATATATTCTGTATCTTCCTTCACAGTGCAGTTGTGATTTATTCTCTTCTCAAAAACAGAGGTATACAATTGCAGATTTTGAAAAATACCTAGCATTGAAATGTAATTCAATACTCCTAAAATAGCTTAATACAATACAATAGAGTTTGTATTGACCAAAACCCTCCAGGGCCTCAAAAATAAAAATATATATAAATAAACAGCAAAAAATGAACCGTATATGCTTTACAAAAGTTTAACAGGTGTATGATTCAGACCTGATTTTCAGATCTGTCTTTGAACTACACCATCCGCAGAGTTTTTATAATCATTGTGTTTGTATTCCCCTTCACACAAAATTAAACTCTGACTCAGTTTTGACAAATCTTCTTTCTAATTGCTTTTTCCATTTTTATTCTTTAGAAAAACTAAACCTCCTTGTGAAGAATGAAAGGAACACACTATCTGCTCAAAACATACCTCAAGTCTGTATTTAAATCTGAGCTCATAGTCCCGATCTCCTTGCAAAATATTGTTTACTCTTGACAGATGGGTTGCCTTTTCTTTGGCAGGACACTGGCTACTGACACCTCAGAGAGCACAGTCTGGAGTCTGGGATGTTATTGGCTAAGGGTTCCCTGTGTGACATTTCATTTATTAAATCAGTAAAATTTACATTAGGTTATTTTTTAAGATGCATACGATGATGGACCCTTTATAGCATGTACATATTGCTATAGTTAAAACTTAAATACATGTAATTGTGTAGCAGACATTTTGAATTGTGAGGGGATAGTGTTGGATTGATATTGGAATAGTATTTATTGGAAGGAGAGGGGGTGGCAAGATTTTAAAGGTCCCCTATTATACTGTTTTTCATCAATATATTATAGGTCTCAGATATATACAAAACATGTCTCTGAAGTGTTTGGCTCCAAACCAAACGGATCATTGTAGCATCCCATAATCCCCTCTGTTTCAGCCCTGTTTCAAAAGTGCTGATTCTCTGTCTGTGACTTTAGATGAAAAATAAGGAGCCACTCCAGACGCCCCTCTGAGAGATATTTGGTTAAAAATAACACAATGGTGCTCTAGGAGGAGATTCAGGTGATAAGGTGTGTGGGGGGGGGCTTGTTACCTTGATTGGTTATTGGCTAATGGTTACACAAGCCATAAAAACATTATGACATCATTAAGTGATCAAAATCTGATCAGCTCATTTTCAGACAGGTTTTTATATAAATGAATCAGGACAAAAAGAGAGAGAATCTTTTTTCCTGAAACTTTCAGAATGTACACAGAGGGGACAAATGTTGATGTTTAAAAGACATGAAAAAGTACATTTTGCATAATAGGTGACCTTTAAATAGCTAACAAAAGGGGTGACTTAAAGGTTGAATTAAAAGACAGTTTATCTACAATTCAATGTAGACCAGAGTCTACAAGCCATTATGTTACTAACAGACCAAATGCATCAAAAGCCGTACTGCAGCTCTGCCTCCCTCAAGTGGACATCTTACACCACTGAGAGACTCAGTGACAGGTCCAGGAACCACAGTGGTGAGTATGGCCCAATTCCAAATCACACACTCGCAGCTCAACGAGGCTCTCTCCTGTCAGATGGAGGGAATAAATACAGCAGCAAGCTTTGGGACGAACTCCCCTCTCTCCGGCAGAAACAAAAAATGCCGTAACTGTATGTAACAACGGTTTCAAATCAGCATCTCTTGGTCAAAAAATTAAAATGAATTAAAAAAAGAAAATTCCAAACATCTTTAATTGAGTCCGGTCAGGCAGGGCAGCAGGTGAAGTCAGCACCGATGCAGACTCGCTGTTTGAGGGCTTGATAACCCACTCCCCCTCCACACTGCTCCACACTCGTTGGTTTGGAACAGCACTTAATGTGGTGGACCCTCTGCGTGAAAGCGCAAACGGAGGGGTAGTGTGTAGGGTGTGAATTGGAATTGGGCCTATGTCTTCACCCAGAGTAACCATCACTTCTGATTGATACTCATGATTAAGTTCACACCATCAAATTTAAGTAGGGATGCACCGAATATTCGGCCGCCGAAAATTATCGGCCGAAAATGGTTAAAAAGGCCCTTTCGGCTTTCGGCCGAAAGGGTTCTAGCACCGAAAAAATATCACCGAATGTCAGAGAACAGGGTTACGTTGGTAAGCTAACGTGTTGTTGTGATGACGTAATCAAAACGCGGCGACAAGCACGGCGCGCGACCATGCTCGCGGCTGGCTCACAGCCAACATGTCTGCCGCTTGGAGATATTTAAAAATATCAGAGAAAGAGGCGCGGATTGCGATTTGTAAAACGTGTTCAGCTGACATTTCTCGAGGGGGTGTAACTGCAAAGACTTTCACCACTTCAGGATTACTCCACCACTTGAAATCAAAACACCCGGACAAATATGCGGAGTAAGATCAAATCACAAGCACTGACAGCGAGAGACTGTTCAGCGCTGCCTCTCATGTGCTTGATGAGAAGAGGAACAGACTTATGGCTGATAAAGCAGAGAAGCTAATGTTCATTAAAAAGAACCTCCCACTTTTCCTTAATAAGTAGACAAGGCTGGCTTATGTTATATTCTTGTGTTTTACTTTCGTAGTGTGTTCTCCTTGTG